TGCCGGGGATGCGAGGCGGTGGGGGGGTGGTGGTGGGAGGCAGGGGGGAGGTAGGGAGGTGTTCGCACCGACATCGAGCTGCTGACCACTGGCTCCTCACACTGCTAACGTTATAGTCGGCTCTGCCCTGTGTGAGCCACGCTATGTGCTGTTATATCATAGCTGTGATGCTGTTTCCTGGTGGATGCTGGCTGGTGACGCAGACCCTCAGTGAGGTGGCAGCTGCCGATCAGACCATCCCTTAATCTGTCCAAATGAAGTCCTTTTTCCACTACAGCGAGGCCCAGGTCTTCATTGGTTATAAGATAAATACGGTTGTTGCTGAGATTGCAGCCGGAGCGTGCCTCCCATTTGTTGTTAGGAGCTGTATTGCAGGAGGGCCAGCGTTAAGGCCTCAACATCAGTGTGGGGAATTAAAGGGTGAAGCCATCCATTCATTACTAGTACTGCCGCCTATCACCGTTCAGCATGCACTGGAGGCTGGAGGCGGGGTCCACCCAGTCTGTCAAAGAGGAAATAACATTAGTTATGCAGAATATACGTCGTGCTCATGCAATGGTTTTGGGGGAAGTTGAGGCACTCAGGTGATTCCTATTGCTGCACATATGATGATTCCATAATGACACTTTGTGGAGTTTGTTCACTGGGTGAGGGCTCATAAATGTCATGTTTAAGATGGTAAATCTGTTGATGCACAAACTGTTTATCTCCTGATGTAATTACAATACCTAAATCCACAGTATCTGCCGTACCAATCCAATACTAGTGGGTTTTTTTTCCCCCCCTAAATGTAAAATCGTTACGCCACGCTGTAGGGAAGTTGGAATAATTTATATGTAGGGTTACATTAGGGATTGTTGTAGCATTGGAGACTAAAGTCTGTGTATGTCTGTTGTGCCTGAAAGAATGTAACCGATAGCAGAAACACTTGCCATTGTATAACGACAATGGCAAGGAAACTGTATTTAATGCGGTGTGTCACATCGTGGGTGGGTCACCTCCTGGCTGACACCCAACTGGATCAGTGCACCTGTAATTAACTCTGGGTTTTATTTTAATGTAGGGCAGAAGACTTCCTTACACTTTGTGTTGACGTGTCTTACTGCTACGTATGCTAGAGGTGTTCGTAGCTCATGTTTGTTGTTCAACTCAGAACTGGAAATGAAGGCTTGATCAATACTGGATTTATGAGGCTGACTCCATTATACTGGCCAATATTTGTTTCTAACAAATGGCAAACATTTGGTTATTGAGTAATTGTTGCAGTTGGAAAATAAACTCTCCAGTTCTCTATAAGCTAAAGCTAATGGTTAGTTTCTAAATTACTTCAGACATTCTCTACTGCAGTTTCTCATGCTCATCTGGCGGATGTATCGTTCAGACTCTGTTAGAAATCGTACAGAGACACTTTGATCCAGCACTGTCATTTGGCTGTAAAATATAGTTTTTGCTTTTAATCAATACAACTCTCGGCTCAATCAATCATGTGTAAGGCTGAAGACTCACTGGACAGAAATGTGATGTCCACCCCCATTCATTATCTATGAGATGCAAATGTATTGCCTTTCAGGGTACCGTGGGAAAGCATGCAGCGCAGAATGATAAATGATGTATGATGCACTGAAAATGGGAGGTTTCAGAAAGTTATGTGTCACTTTAACGCAAAGAAGAGCTACAGAAAACTCATAATTGTACTTTCTGGGATTGCTCCTTTGTGTGGCCTTTCCCTCCCAGAACATAAAGAAAAGTGCTGCTTTGTACAGAGCTGTTAGAATTGTTGGAGGAAAATGCTGGGTGGCTTATTAACACAATGCACACAAACAATTGCTTGTAGTCTGAGAACATAGCCCTGGAAAGTGTCAACACGCCCACAGCAGCATGTGAGAAGTGGTGTCGTGCGATTTATTTATTCATTCGCTTCCAGCTGCACTCGATGGCGAGCAGGTAACCTGTATTCAGTCCGAGTTGCTCACTGCTGGTTGCCATCAAAGCAGATTGATGCCGTAACAAAGAGGAGCGCCGATCACTGTGGATTGTCTGTTTCTGGTTTATTGAGCCCCATCGTGTTGAATGATGTGTGTAGGTGAACCGCTCCAGTGGATGGTGTAGGTTGCTCGGTGAAAGACAGATGTGAGACAGGTGTTGCATCAACTAGCCGCTTGATATAGATCAATCAACGCCTCTGACACAGTGTCAGTAAAAACAGAAAATTGTAAGATTCACATGGTTGTCTTCAGTCTTCTAGTCTTATTTGCACAACTAAAGCTAGATGAAAGACATACAGTAATAGAGCTCAGGGGAGGAAAGAAGGGCTTCGGGCTTATACAAAAAAACACATTAACAAAATCATTCTAATTATAAACATCAGACAGGAAGACAAATCGAACATAAATAAGAGCAGCTAAAAGAAGAGGGAATCAAACAAGAAGAGATTTTTGTAAAAGTGGGAATTATTGCAGGCAGGCCCACTGTATTACTGCGGATTGTTTCACATTCACTGGTATTCTGAACAGAAATTACAAATGTGTGATAAGCAGACAACATGAATGAAACATGAAGTGACAGCGGAGCAGAAATGGGAGCTTGGCAGTGACACCATTTGTGACATGAAGACATAAGTCATAAGTCATAATAAAGAATTGAAGTTACCAGAGTGAGCCACCACGTGTCACGTTTTTAAAGTGTTTGTTAGGAAACCTTAAAAATAGATTCACTAGTGGGATTTGCAAGTAAGCCTCTTTTTTTGTATCACTTTAATTTCTCAGTTCTCAGGAGAGGACTGGCAGTCGAACATGTTTCACTGTTTCATTTTGTCTGTTACCTCTACGTCAGGACAATGCGTGAGTCAGATCCAGCTTGTTCGGGAAGAGAATTGAAATAAGTCAACCTGATGAATCATTCTTGCGTAGCTCCACCTGAATCCATATCTCTTCCGGATTAAGTGAAGAAATAACAGGACCTCTCTTCTCTCTCACTCAGCATTAGGAGCGGCGTACGGCACAGCGAAGAGCGGCACAGGCATCGCTGCCATGTCCGTGATGCGGCCAGAGCTCATCATGAAGTCCATCATCCCCGTGGTCATGGCTGGTATCATCGCCATCTACGGGCTGGTGGTGGCTGTGCTGATAGCAAACAACATCTCCGAGAGAGTCACTCTCTACAAGTAAGACATACCTCCAATACAATAGCTGATTAAAACACTTTTTTTACATTTACATATTCTTTCTGCTCGTGTCGTTAGTGAGCGTGGTTTGTACGCTTATGAGTTGAAGCACATACATGCAAACAACCCCCAACGTCTTCGAGTCACAAACACAGATGAAACAACTGATGAATTTAAGACCAATATTCACTGGCCTTTACCTCTGTTTTGATCAACTTCATGGTGCATTTTCTACATCTGGCTCTTTGCTGGGTAGTAAACGGTTAACCTGTCAAAACTTGTTTTCTGGAACAGTTTCATACTGAAGTGTTAATGTGGCTTGACCACTAGGCCCTCATTGATAATATTGACAATAGAACTATTGCTTAATGCAGATTTAAAAGCGACCCAGTTTGCTTTTATCAGAATTTGACGTTTTCAGTGGTTGTGAAGTCGCAGGGAAACAGCAGTTACAGGTTCTTTGGTTTTAGTTTGATTATTTTAGATACGAGAGGGATTTGATCAAATTGCTCCAGGCTCAGTGAGTACAGAGCGATATGGAGCGGTACAGGACTGTTCAGTGTACACCCACACCACCCTCACCTGGAAGGATGAGAGAGAAATGAATAACTTACACCTCAACCACATTTTAAAAATACTATAATTGTCGATTTTTTGCTTTACTTTACTTGCTGCTGCTCTTGGTAGTCATATATGGGTTCTCACTGACAATTTTGATTATAAGATAGATGTGTTTAGCTATTTGGGTGAAATGTGTCTTAAAATAATACTAATTATTTTGGATATCAAACACTCACCCTCCCTTTCATACTGTATTATTGCCAAAATGTGACTAAATGGGTTCTCTTTTCTTGGTGTCCCCTCAACAGGAGTTTCTTGCATCTCGGTGCTGGTCTGAGCGTGGGCCTGAGCGGTCTGGCGGCCGGGTTCGCCATTGGCATCGTGGGCGACGCCGGTGTGAGGGGCACCGCCCAGCAGCCCCGGCTTTTTGTGGGCATGATCCTGATCTTGATCTTTGCCGAGGTGCTGGGGCTTTACGGGCTCATTGTGGCCCTCATCCTATCTACAAAATAAGTGTCTGCAACATAACATCATCTCATTCATTCCACATCAAAGCAGCAAGAACAAATAGGAGATTTTCACCTACTTCCATTACACCCCGTGGGTCTGACAGGATGGGATGGCAACAGAAACATGTTGGCGGTCGACTTGACAGCTGTGTCCTCAATAGATGTGATCTATCCATATTGTTTAAAGCCATCCAGTTGTGTCAGGTCTCGTGCGTACAGAACGGGCATGAAGATGTATTGGTTGTTGTGGGATGATGTGTGGACAGTCTGCTTGATTTGTTGTCTGATCTTAACCTGTACAGTGATCCAGAGTCCCTCCACCCCCTGTAAATGTAGTAACCAGTCTGTGCTGTGAGTGTGTGAGTATCAACGTTTCTCCCTCTGCCCATTCCCCTCCTTAAGTTTTTGTTTTTTGTTGGTGGTTTTGATCATTTTCTGTTTTGAGACTGCTGAAAAATCGTGCACATTAGTGTTTTATTTTTTCATGTTCTTTTCTGGGACCATTTTTGAATCACAGTGGTGAGGGAACTGACAAGACATATTTTTTTTCACTATTTATGGAAAGTTATGAAGATTTTGACTTAATGAAACTGTCTAAATGGAATAATGTTTATTGAATACCCTATATACCACAAAATATATAAATTATCTGTGTATAGTTAGATTAATTGCACTGTGGGTAATTGTTCTAAGTGCTTGGAATTCCTCTGGATGTAGTGTGATTATTAATGGAGGATGTCCACATGTTGACATGGAGTTGACAGTGTGCGAGCGTGTGTGTGTGTGTGCGTGTGTGTGTGTGTGTGTGTGTATGTGAGCGTGTGTGAATGACACGAGTGCAGGATGTGTGCAAGTTGATTTATGTTTAATATTACATTCTCAAACACTAGTATCGTTTACCTGTAGTGCTGCTGTCTTGATTTTTTTTTGTTTTTTTGTTTAAGGTGAGAGCTCACTGTTCAGCCATGCCTGTCAGATTTCCAAATAAAACTCAACCTCCTCCAGAACATTTGTCGAGTCTTTGTTTGTCTGATATTAATGGAATGATTAAACTTACACTACCAATGACATTTAGATTTTTCTCAGCATTTTCGTGTAAAAAGAAATGGGATATTAAATGTTGAGCAAAAAGGACTTCTTATGGATTAATGTTGTAGTCAGACCTGATGACAACACATAATTGTTTTGTGGTGTATGACTGCACAGTAGTCATCTTGATGCCTTTTGATTCATAAATAGTACTGAAGATATTATTATACTAAAACTTGGATACATTATGTGCTGATAAACATTATTGAGCTCATAAAGTGGTGTCAACATTTAAGAAGAACTCCAGTCCAGGAGAGCAGCACTGATCTCTCACAAAGCTCAATGTTCACCTTGTAATTTACCAAAAGAGAAAGAAAGCACTGAAACTGTAGATTAAAACTGTGGCTATGTTGGTTGCTGTTCTAACTACCTCTAGTAAAGTTTTATATTTCAACATCAGATCATCTAAGCTACAAACAGCTGTTGCTTATGCAAAGTAGATGAATGTATTATGATAAATTGCATTTAAAACAACAATACCTACATGTATGACCTAACTTTGTGTTCAGTGTGTACAGTAAATAAACTGCACCTACAACTTTAAAATGCTGCATATACATTAATGTGTCAGTAATAATAATAATTCAATATAATATATCCAGCAGTGGAAAGTAAGTATATTTATTTCAATTAA